TTTTTTGGTAACTGGTCTCTACCTCCACGGCTCCGGGGTTTTTTGGTAACTGGTCTCTATCTCCACGGCTCTGGGGTTTTTTGGTAACTGGTCTCTATCTCCACGGCTCTGGGGTTTTTTGGTAACTGGTCTCTATCTCCACGGCTCTGGGGTTTTTGGTAACTGGTCTCTATCTCCACGGCTCTGGATTTTTTGGTAACTGGTCTCTACCTCCACGGCTCCGGGGTTTTTTGGTAACTGGTCTCTACATCCACGGCTCGGGTTTTTTGGTAACTGGTCTCTACCTCCACGGCTCCGGGGTTTTTTTGGTAACTGGTCTCTACATCCACGGCTCGGGGTTTTTTGGTAACTGGTCTCTACCTCCACGGCTCCGGGGTTTTTTGGTAACTGGTCTCTACCTCCACGGCTCTGGGTTTTTTGGTAACTGGTCTCTACCTCCACGGCTCTGGGGTTTTTTGGTAACTGGTCTCTACCTCCACGGCTCTGGGGTTTTTTGGTAACTGGTCTCTATCTCCACGGCTCTGGGGTTTTTTGGTAACTGGTCTCTACCTCCAAGGCTCTGGGGTTTTTTGGTAACTGGTCTCTACCTCAACGGCTCTGGGTTTTTTTTGGTAACTGGTCTCTACCTCCAAGGCTCTGGGGTTTTTTTGGTAACTGGTCTCTACCTCCACGGCTCCGGGGTTTTTTGGTAACTGGTCTCTACATCCACGGCTCTGGGTTTTTTGGTAACTGGTCTCTACCTCCACGGCTCCGGGGTTTTTTGGTAACTGGTCTCTACCTCCACGGCTCTGGGTTTTTTGGTAACTGGTCTCTACCTCCATGGCTCTGGGGTTTTTTGGTAACTGGTCTCTACCTCCACGGCTCTGGGGTTTTTTGGTAACTGGTCTCTATCTCCACGGCTCTGGGGTTTTTTGGTAACTGGTCTCTACCTCCAAGGCTCTGGGGTTTTTTGGTAACTGGTCTCTACCTCAACGGCTCTGGGGTTTTTTTGGTAATTGGTCTCTACCTCCAAGGCTCTGGGGTTTTTTGGTAACTGGTCTCTATCTCCATGGCTCGGGGTTTTTTGGTAACTGGTCTCTACCTCCACGGCTCCGGGGTTTTTTGGTAACTGGTCTCTATCTCCACGGCTCCGGGGTTTTTGGTAACTGGTCTCTACCTCCACGGCTCTGGGGTTTTTTGGTAACTGGTCTCTACCTCCACGGCTCTGGGGTTTTTTGGTAACTGGTCTCTACCTCCACGGCTCTGGGTTTTTTGGTAACTGGTCTCTATCTCCACGGCTCTGGGGTTTTTTGGTAACTGGTCTCTACCTCCACGGCTCTGGGGTTTTTTGGTAACTGGTCTCTACCTCCACGGCTCTGGATTTTTTGGTAACTGGTCTCTACCTCCACGGCTCTGGGGTTTTTTGGTAACTGGTCTCTACCTCCACGGCTCTGGGGTTTTTTGGTAACTGGTCTCTACCTCCACGGCTCGGGGTTTTTTGGTAACTGGTCTCTACCTCCACGGCTCCGGGGTTTTTTGGTAACTGGTCTCTACCTCCACGGCTCCGGGGTTTTTTGGTAACTGGTCTCTACCTCCACGGCTCGGGGTTTTTTGGTAACTGGTCTCTACCTCCACGGCTCCGGGGTTTTTTGGTAACTGATCTCTACATCCACGGCTCTGGGTTTTTTGGTAACTGGTCTCTACCTCCACGGCTCCGGGGTTTTTTGGTAACTGGTCTCTACATCCACGGCTCTGGGTTTTTTGGTAACTGGTCTCTACCTCCACGGCTCCGGGGTTTTTTGGTAACTGGTCTCTACATCCACGGCTCTGGGTTTTTTGGTAACTGGTCTCTACATCCACGGCTCCGGGGTTTTTTGGTAACTGGTCTCTATCTCCACGGCTCCGGGGTTTTTTGGTAACTGGTCTCTACCTCCACGGCTCCGGGGTTTTTTGGTAACTGGTCTCTACCTCCACGGCTCGGGGTTTTTTGGTAACTGGTCTCTACCTCCACGGCTCTGGGGTTTTTTGGTAACTGGTCTCTACCTCCACGGCTGTGGGTTTTTTGGTAACTGGTCTCTATCTCCATGGCTCTGGGGTTTTTTGGTAACTGGTCTCTACCTCCACGGCTCTGGGGTTTTTTTGGTAACTGGTCTCTACCTCCACGGCTCTGGATTTTTTGGTAACTGGTCTCTACCTCCACGGCTCTGGGGTTTTTTGGTAACTGGTCTCTACCTCCACGGCTCTGGGGTTTTTTGGTAACTGGTCTCTACCTTCACGGCTCTGGGTTTTTTGGTAACTGGTCTCTACCTCCACGGCTCTGGGGTTTTTGGTAACTGGTCTCTACCTCCACGGCTCTGGGGTTTTTGGTAACTGGTCTCTACCTCCACGGCTCTGGGGTTTTTTGGTAACTGGTCTCTACCTCCACGGCTCTGGGGTTTTTTGGTAACTGGTCTCTACCTTCACGGCTCTGGGTTTTTTGGTAACTGGTCTCTATCTCCACGGCTCCGGGGTTTTTGGTAACTGGTCTCTACCTCCACGGCTCTGGGGTTTTTTGGTAACTGGTCTCTACCTCCACGGCTCTGGGGTTTTTTGGTAACTGGTCTCTACCTCCACGGCTCTGGGTTTTTTGGTAACTGGTCTCTATCTCCACGGCTCTGGGGTTTTTTGGTAACTGGTCTCTACCTCCACGGCTCTGGGTTTTTTTTGGTAACTGGTCTCTATCTCCACGGCTCTGGGGTTTTTTGGTAACTGGTCTCTACCTCCACGGCTCTGGGGTTTTTGGTAACTGGTCTCTACCTCCACGGCTCGGGGTTTTTTGGTAACTGGTCTCTACATCCACGGCTCGGGGTTTTTTGGTAACTGGTCTCTACATCCACGGCTCGGGGTTTTTTGGTAACTGGTCTCTGCCTCCACGGCACCGGGGTTTTTTGGTAACTGGTCTCTACCTCCACGGCTCCGGGGTTTTTTGGTAACTGGTCTCTACCTCCACGGCTCCGGGGTTTTTTGGTAACTGGTCTCTACCTCCACGGCTCGGGGTTTTTTGGTAACTGGTCTCTACGTCCACGGCTCGGGGTTTTTTGGTAACTGGTCTCTACCTCCACGGCTCCGGGCTTTTTTGGTAACTGGTCTCTACCTCCATGGCTCCGGGGTTTTTTGGTAACTGGTCTCTACCTCCACGGCTCCGGGGTTTTTTGGTAACTGGTCTCTACCTCCATGGTTCCGGGGTTTTTTGGTAACTGCTCTCTACCTCCACGGCTCCGGGGTTTTTTGGTAACTGGTCTCTACCTCCACGGCTCCGGGGTTTTTTGGTAACTGGTCTCTACCTCCACGGCTCTGGGGTTTTTTGGTAACTGGTCTCTACATCCACGGCTCTGGGTTTTTTGGTAACTGGTCTCTACCTCCACGGCTCGGGGTTTTTTGGTAACTGGTCTCTACCTCCACGGCTCTGGGGTTTTTTGGTAACTGGTCTCTACCTCCACGGCTCCGGGTTTTTTGGTAACTGGTCTCTACATCCACGGCTCTGGGTTTTTTGGTAACTGGTCTCTACCTCCACGGCTCCGGGGTTTTTTGGTAACTGGTCTCTACCTCCACGGCTCCGGGGTTTTTTGGTAACTGGTCTCTACCTCCACGGCTCGGGTTTTTTGGTAACTGGTCTCTACCTCCACGGCTCCGGGGTTTTTTGGTAAATGGTCTCTACCTCCATGGCTCCGGGGTTTTTTGGTAACTGCTCTCTACCTCCATGGCTCCGGGGTTTTTTGGTAACTGGTCTCTACCTCCACGGCTCCGGGGTTTTTTGGTAACTGGTCTCTACCTCCATGGCTCCGGGGTTTTTTGGTAACTGCTCTCTACCTCCACAGCTCCGGGGTTTTTTGGTAACTGGTCTCTACCTCCACGGCTCCGGGGTTTTTTGGTAACTGGTCTCTACCTCCACGGCTCTGGGGTTTTTTGGTAACTGGTCTCTACCTCCACGGCTCCGGGGTTTTTTGGTAACTGGTCTCTACCTCCACGGCTCGGGTTTTTTGGTAACTGGTCTCTACCTCCACGGCTCGGGGTTTTTTGGTAACTGGTCTCTACGTCCACGGCTCCGGGGTTTTTTGGTAACTGGTCTCTACCTCCACGGCTCCGGGGTTTTTTGGTAACTGGTCTCTACCTCCATGGCTCTGGGGTTTTTTGGTAACTGGTCTCTACATCCACGGCTCGGGGTTTTTTGGTAACTGGTCTCTACCTCCACGGCTCTGGGGTTTTTTGGTAACTGGTCTCTACCTCCACGGCTCCGGGGTTTTTTGGTAACTGGTCTCTACCTCCACGGCTCGGGGTTGTTTGGTAACTGGTCTCTACATCCACGGCTCGGGGTTTTTTGGTAACTGGTCTCTACCTCCACGGCTCCGGGGTTTTTTGGTAACTGGTCTCTACCTCCACGGCTCGGGGTTTTTTGGTAACTGGTCTCTACCTCCACGGCTCCGGGGTTTTTTGGTAACTGGTCTCTACCTCCACGGCTCGGGGTTGTTTGGTAACTGGTCTCTACATCCACGGCTCGGGGTTTTTTGGTAACTGGTCTCTACCTCCACGGCTCCGGGGTTTTTTGGTAACTGGTCTCTACCTCCACGGCTCCGGGGTTTTTTGGTAACTGGTCTCTACCTCCACGGCTCCGGGGTTTTTTGGTAACTGGTCTCTACCTCCATGGCTCTGGGGTTTTTTGGTAACTGGTCTCTACCTCCACGGCTCCGGGGTTTTTTGGTTGTGGTTTTAGAGGTTAATCCATAAAGCTTCAGATGCTGAACAGTGAAACATTACCATTTAATCCTGTGAGGTCATAAATGTAAATAAAGGAAGAAACTTGGCTTAAAGAGGTGAAACTCTATTATTTTTAAAATGCATGTTAATTTTCTAACAAAATGCAATAGAAATGATTAAGAAGTAAAGATGTTATCTTTAAATTCCCCATTAAAAATGTGGTCAAGTTTCCATTCCATGTTTTTCTGTGCAGCTGAATAATTCAGTGATTTTTTTGTTGTTGTTAGTGAATCTGGTGGATATCTGTGGCCAAACAATCCAAAGAGATGGAATGATCATCAATTCACACCAGGAATCCAAGAAGCACTACTTTGTGACCACAGGGACCGACTGTCACCTCACCATGCTGGCCAGCTCGCCTAAAGAAAAGGTCCAATTCTACTTTCGTTTCTTCCTGGTCTACAGCTTACTCAGAGTTGCTCCACTAAACCCCGCCCCTCTCATCCAAGAGTCCTCACATGGCTCCGCCTCTCTCAACTTGAAACTCCAGCCCACCTCTAGTTCAAGCCCAGACGATCCTTGTTTCGCCGGATCCTATCTTCAGTTCTATGATGGCAGAGACATGCGCTCGCCACCTCTTGGGCCTCCTCTTTGTGGGAAGACTCCTCCCAAGCCAGTGCTGTCTACAGGACAATATTTGACCCTGAGGCTGGTGACACGGGGAACCCAGCCCAGGGTTGATTTTGTTGGAGACTTCACCTCTTTGAGACTGGGTAGGAAACACAGACACCTTTTGAATACAAGCTTAACCTAAGTCTTAAAAAAGATCCCAAAAGCAATGAAAACTATAAAGGTTGCATAGTTTTGTCCATTTTCTGCATGTACGTTAAAAAGCTTAATTTAGGACATTGTTGGTGGTATGTAGAAAGCCCTAAATTGAACCCCAGTCGGCCTCGGCAGATAGCCGCTCACACTGAGCCTGGTTCTGCTGGAGGTTTCTTCCTGTTCAAAGCGAGTTTTTCCTCTCCACTGTCGCTAAAAGCATGCTTAATGTGAGGGATTGCCTTTAATCCAAGAGTCGATGCAATCAGCTGGTTTTAGATAGAAATCTTTGAATCAATCTGACTGGATGATCTGGTAAACTGTAAGTGCCTTGAGATGACGGGTTGTGAATTGGCGCTATAGAAATAAAAATAATTGAATTGAATTAAAATATAGTTTTATTCACAGTTCTATCTCTAAAATCAGTACTATAGCTTTTGCGAACATTAGTCATTTATATGCCAGGAGCCTCAACAGTCAACATCATATCCAAAACCAGTAGGTAAAGATAAGCAGGTAGACAGTGGTTCACTATGGTGGTAATGACGCATGGTTGCTGCAATCAAAGGTTAAGCTTGTTAAATAGATTGTAAGGAGCCAGAAATTTGTTCTTGATCTCAGTGTGCAAAAACAGGAAAATAATTTGATTTAGCTGCGAATATTCATTAGAATCTACGCTGCTAAACTCATAGAAACTGTACTGTATCTTACGTCACATTTGCAAAAGAAAACAATACCAACACGACAGCTGAGGGGGGCTATTTTTGGATTTATAAAAGAGAAGGAGGAGGAAAGCTAAATGTTTTATATTCCTTTGGAAATATATTTAAATGAGCCTAGTGTTCCCTCTCAGCCAGCAGATAATCTAAACTATCCATTACATTTCAATTCACTGTTTAGATTTCAAATCTGAAATAAGGGGAATTTCTCAACCCAAAATCATCCTTTCCCACTTTACAAAGTTCATTTAAATCCTAACCTACAGAAAGAAAAGAGACGCTTCCTGCCACTTAAACATCAAAAAGGTTCCAGATGTACATCCCATAAATTTATTATTTCAACCTTTTTTTTTTTTCTTCCAAATATTAGCTAAATCTGATTTTTTTTTTTAAATACATGTCTGATATTTTTCCTTGGAAATTTCTGACTTTAAAATGTCAGAAGTTTTGGTCTCATAAATAACTATGCTTATTCTAAATTGTGCTTTATCTCTTGCAAAATTATAACTTTTTGATGTGGAGAATGCTTACTTCTAAAATCAATCTTGAAATTTCAGATTTTTGATGGCCAGATATTGGATGTTTCTGTTATCTACAATAACTCTGGCAAAGCTTCTGGTTTAATTTGTGAAAAATGATGTGATTAGCATTGATGGGACTAACGGCGTTCAAAGTAACGGCGTTACTAACGCCGTTACCTTGTTTTAGTAACGAGTAATCTAACTAATTACTTTGACTGTAACTATAACGCAGTTACCATTGCAGACACCCCGTTACTGCGCTTTACTCAGGTCGCACAATGAACCTTTTTTCATGATAGGACTCGTGTCGCCTTGTCATGAGAGAGAGGAGGATGAGATTGGCTGATGTATGGTGAGATTCCGTCTGTCAGTTGGGTAGGTGGGTGTTTCTGCTGGCGGGTGTTAACGTACAGCACACACAGAGAGATGGAGAGTCAGGAGGACTCCAGCAGCAAAACAGCGTTTTCCAGACTGAAATACTGGTGTTACGTCGAGCTGCGTTTCCCCATCAGATACGGTTTCCCCTGCATCTCCGCACAGCGCAGACGGCACGAGTCACAGCGCAAGCGACAGGAAACGCGCATGCTTGAACCCCAGTCGGCCTCGGCAGATAGCCGCTCACACTGAGCCTGGTTCTGCTGGAGGTTTCTTCCTGTTAAAAGGGAGTTTTTCCTCTCCACTGTCGCTACAAGCATGCTTAGTGTGAGGGATTGTATTTGAGTCAA